AGTTTACAGATTATCTGAAAAAACACTGATTTTTTTCCTTTTCAGTCATACATTCTGAAATTTGTACATATGAAACTCTACCCTATCTTGCCCTTGTCCTTGAAATTAGGATTCTACACTTAAGAGGCCTTAGGCAAACTACTTAATCTCTCTGACTCTCAATTTCTTTATCTTAAAGTAGAAAATAAGCCAAATCAGAGGCATGAATGACAATGTAGGCAAACAGCAAGGCAGGGAACTAACACTTGGTGAATTTCAGGCATTGTACTAGGAATTTTATACACATTTATTCCTCTCAAAAACATCTCTTTTAAGGAAGAAAATATGACTACCTCAATATTAAATGAATAAAGGATATGAACATTCAATTATTCAATTAACAAACATTTATGACCACCTACTATATTTTAGGCAGCATGCTGGAAGCAATACCAATGGTCAGCAAATATGTGAACAAATGGTCATCTCTATTAGTCATAATCGAAGGAATGCAAGTGAAAACAAAAGCGACTTTTCCATTTTTCACCCATCAAATGGTGAACTTTCAGTAAATGTTTTCTTAGGGTTAGATGAATGTGGTGCTTTGGGATCTCTTCTTAAGTGGGCAGACGCATAGATGCACCATCTTCCTGAAGGCACTTGAGCAATGTGTTTAAAACGGGCTAACATGTATATTTACTTAAAAAAAAGTCCAACCAGGAGAATGAAGCACACCTAGTGACTGCAGTTTCCAAATACCATTTTGGAAAGTACCAAAATACCCAAAGGAAAAAGGATTCCTTGGAAAATGGCTACTTCAAGGTGGGAGCTAGGAAATGAACAAGACGAGCCTGGAACATCCTATTGTGGCAGACAGCAGGCAAGTGATCAAAGACTAGCAGGGTCATATCAAAAGGACACAGGAATCAAATGGAAGAGGATCCCACAAGCCACACATGGAACAATTTGAGCATCAATGAGAGTACAACTTAAATAGATTTAAACATACAGAATATGCTTCACGTACACACCCCTCTACACTCAGTGATTACCATGGCAGAATGTTAGGGAACCAACTCATTATTTTGCAAACCAATAAGAAGAAAGAAAGAAGCATCTACCCTGCCTTTCCTTATTGTAACATGGATAACCAAACAGTAGTTGAAAGGAAGTTTCTCTTTTTAAAAGTATTCTAGCTGATAAAGGAAGAAAGAATAATGTATCATCATTCTGTAATCCCTAATAAATTAATAGATTTACCAACTGAACATCAATGGCTGCTAACATCATAAAAAGAAAGACACCTAAATATTATGTCTCTCAATATTAACCACCTATAAGTAGTCTTAACAACAACAACGAAAATGGAAACTCAATCTGATCATGCCTCTAGACATCAACTACCAACTTATAGGAAATACCAAGGATAGAGGAGCAGGTTTAACTACCCATTGGGATGAGCCAGCAAAAACCAAGCTCTGAGAAACTCTCCAAGGCAAACAAACTAGTTTTGAAAAGTTAAGTTGCCCGGGGGGG